AGCATCTCCGCAGGGAACCCCTAGGCTCGCCCGGAAGCGCGCTCGCCGGGTGCCGACGAAGGCCCGGTCCACGAGACGGCGTGCCTGCTCCCTTCGCCCCTGAACCCTCGCGGCACGCGTGTCCCTCATCCCAACGCCCCGCCACAGAGACAGGAAAAAAAAAAAAAAAAAAACACAAAAAAACCCACAAAGAACAACGCAAGCAGACCCTTACCCGCTCCAAAGCGTGCGCGCATTGGCGCACGCCCCATTTTATAGAGCGCGCCGCTCGCAAGGCCCGCCCGCGGCGCCAGGACGGGCCGCACCCGAGGCGTCCAGGACGCGGCCTGTTTGAGAAACCCAGCTTTGATGCTTGCAGAAAGAAATGATACTTGTTTCCGCGAGAATCTTCCAGAATAGACGAAAACACATTGTCTCTGGAGGCTGACAAAAAGGAGCAAGGACACACGGGGGAAAAAAAAAAAATGTCAGGTCACCCGCGTCAGGCAATTCTGAGGACAGCACCAAAGATGGGCAGTGACGAGAAAAGCCCTCGAGGGCGGGCGGGGCCAGAAAGAGAAACGACTGGAATTGCCAGCGCCACAGTAGTGCGAGCTGTGGTTGCAGAGGCGGGTTGACGCTGGAAGGCCCCACCCAAGGTGAGTGCCAGCCCCAATGTGGGAGGCGGGGCCGGTGCCGAGATTGACAGGCAGCCATTCCGGGAAAGCGCCATGAGGCGCCGAGCTTGCCTGGTGAGAGGGCGGGCTGGAGCAGTGACGCAAGGTCCGGAAGGCGGGATCCTGGGTTCTGAGGGTGCAGGGAGTCGGGGCCTGGACTCCTGGGTCAGACGGCGGAGAAGCGAGGGAGGGTCTGGATTCCTGTGTTTGGGAGAGGAGGGGGTTGGGCGCCGGGACTCTTGGGGCTAGGGAGGTCGGGGTGTGGGGCTCACCCCCAGTTTCGATGGTCTAAGGCCTGGGGGCCCGGATTCTTGGTAGGGTTGGAGATCCGAGGAGTATCTTTCACCCGACATGAGTGTAAAAAAATTTTTTGAAGATAGAAATATGAAACTACTCCAATACCCCCTCACCCGGGATTGCCACTATCAACGATTTGGCGTGGACTTTGTACTTCACGTACACACACGTATATAAAAAGATGCTGTTGTCACTCTTATTTGTCCTGTAAGTAGGCTCCCCACAGCAGTACATACAGAATTATCTCATTTATTAAACAATGACAAAGGCAGAGGATTCCTTTGTGTGAATAGAACACACTTTGTTTAGCCGGTCCCCTTGGTCAATTGGGTTTTCTTCCTTCTGGTGAGGAGACTCCTTCCATTAAACTTGGGGTCTGATGGAAAAAGAAGACACCTAACTTCCTCGCTTGAGGAAATACGAGCCATTTCTGTCAGAGTCTGCTTTCTCACTACAGGAGAAAAGCAAAATTCTCACTGTGGCCTGCTGAGATCCCTAGAGATCTGGCCTCTGTTCCCTCTCGGCACTGTCCGTCTGCCAGACACCATTGGCCCAGTCTTTTTGCTGACCTTGTGACTCAAGTCCCTTACCTCTGAGTCCCTTCTCTTTCCTTTCCTTCTACCCTGGATGGCCCAAGGGTGGCCCTAGAGAAGGATGGTAGTTCCACAGAATACTTTCAAGATACTGAGCTAAATTAAAGAATATTTGGGGCAGAAAATACAGATTTAATAATAAAGGTTATTAATCTGGATTGAGAGGAGTCAGAAGAACCTGAAAAAGGACAGCAGTGCTGGTGGAGGTGGGGGCTACAGAGCGGGATTGTCCGGTGCCTGACAAAGAGCCGTGGGAGCAGGCCAGCAGTGGGGTCATTTCCAACGTTCTAAGTCCAGATGGCCTCTATTGCTAGGATGGACCAGAAATTCATGTAATTCAGATAGGACAAGAAACCTGGGGAGAGGAAGAGGACAGGGGATGAGACACAAGGTTCACCAGCCCAACCCTGATCCCAGTCCTGTCTCCGAGTCCAACTGCATGCCCTGTACTGTGTCCAACCCCATTCCCAAACCCAACCTCATCCCCAAACCTATTTTTAAACCCATCCCCAATTCCATCCCATCCCCTCACCTACTCACAAACCCATCCCTAAACCCACACTCAACTCCAACCCATTTCTAAACTCTAACCCAACCCCATCCACACATCCAGCCCCATGTGCATCCCCAATCCTGTCTCTCCCACCTCCTCAGTCACATCCTCCCTAGCCCTATCCCCAACCCCATCCCCATCCCAAATAATACCTATCTGCATCCCTGAACCCATGCCCAAACTCAACCCTATCTCAGCCCAGACAAGTCATCAGGAAGAGGAAGACACCAGTCCATGCCAGGTAGAAGCTGAGCCCCAGCTGGCACGTCATGCCTTCCTGCAGGTACTGGTGGGCCTGCAGCAGGTAGAACAGGATACCCAATATGATGCTGGTCCCTGCATGAACACAGGTGTTAGGAGACCAGGAATCAGGCATGTGAGGACCCTTGCTCATAGTTGTGCAGCTGCCCAGCTCTTGTCCTTTTTCCTCCATTTTATTTAACCTCCCAGACCCTGTACCTCTGCTCACAAGCAGGAAGGTGGACTCCTGACAATGTCATGCTGGAGGACATTGGAAGTGCAAGCCATGTTCTTTTTTTTTTTTTTTTTTTTTTGAGACAGAGTCTCACTTTGTTGCCTGGGCTAGAGTGCTGTGGCATCATCCTAGCTCACAGCAACCTCAAACTCCTGGGCTCAAGCGATCCTCCTGCCTCAGCCTCCCAAGTAGCTGGGACTACAGGCATGCGCCATCATGCCTGGCTATTTTTTTCTCTCTATATATTTTTAGTTGTCTGGCTAATGTCTTTATATTTTTAGTAGAGATGGGGTCTTGCTCTTGCTCAGGCTGGTCTCGAACTCCTGAGCTCAAACAATCTACCCGCCTCGGCCTCCCAGAGTGCTAGGATTACAGACGTGCCCGGCCAAGCCATGTTCTTTAACCAGACAATAATAGTGTATAAAACCACAGGCTTTGAGTCCAACAGAACAGAGCTCTTTCCTATGTTTGCCTGTCACCTTAGGGCAGCCACTCCATCTCGCTGAGCCTCAGTCCCCTCATGTAGAGTGGGCATGATTATAGGACCCATCTCCTAGGGCTGTCAGGAGGAGTTATTCACTATGTGCCAGGTACATTTCCTTGCACATAGTAAGCCCTCAAGGATTGGGACGATCATTATCATTATATTGGTCTTTAATTTTGGGCTTCTGAAGCAAGGGAAAAAGAACATGGTCCTTATGGATATTTGAAATGACATGAATTAAAGATAATTTGTGAATGAGAAAAGACTTCGTTTTTTCCCCCAGATAGTCTAGTACTGGGAAATTTTGCCTTCTGCTATTGAAAAATAATGTAGATGTTTTATGCTTAATTGAAAGCCAGGGGGAATGGACAGAAATGATTTTCTTATAGAAAAATGTCCTTTTATAGATGGCTTAAAACCAATGTGTTTTCTACACTTGGTACTTTAAACAATTAGGAAGACCTATTAGATAAACTGGATAAGTGCTAGTTACTAACAAAAAAACAGGAAGCTGAGTGTTCTATAATCTTGCCCTTACTATCACTCTCTAAGAATGTTTTCCTGATGCAAGTAAAAGTTGTGATCAATTACTACAAGGGACAGGAACACAATATCCCTCATTTCCAGATTAAAATTCCCCATTTTAAAGTATGATTGGGCATGCAAATGGAAAACTAAACTATTCTAATTGGAATTTCAATTTTGAGTTATTTGGGTGGGAGTGGGAGGTTATGGTGAGGACTTGTGCACAATTGAATAGCTACCATCAAGTACTGACATTTTCTCATTCAGTCCACTCTACATCTCCACACAGTAGGAAATTTTGTCCCGATCTTACAGATGAGAAAACTGTGGCTCAGGAAGAGGAAGTAGCTGGAACAAAATCACAGAGCTGGTGGTGGGACAGGATTTTCATTTGACATTGGGCAAGGAGTGAGAACTTTGGATACTGTTGTGGTGAGTTTGGAAAATTGGTTGAGCATCTTGGGTACTGAAACAGCGACTGTAGGTAATGGATGGTGTGTCTTGGATACCGACCTGACGACTGCTGACAGCTAGTGGAGGGTCTTGGATACTGACCCTGTGACTAGATAATTGGCAAGGGGTCTTGGATACTGATCCAGTGACTGCTAATAGCTGGTGAAGGGTCTTGGATACTGACCCGGCGACTGCTGATAGCTGGTGAAGGGTCTTGGGTACTGACCTGGTGACTACTGATAGCTGATGGAGGGTCTTGGATACTGACCCGGTGACTGTGGATAATTGACAAGGGGTCTTGGATACTGACCCGGTGACTGTGGATAATTGACAAGGGGTCTTGGATACTGACCTGGCGACTGCTGACAGCTGATGAAGGGTCTTGGATACTTACCCGGCAACTGCTGATAGCTGATGGAGGGTCTTGGATAGTGACCCGGCGACTATGGATAATTGGCAAGGGGTCTTGGATACTGTCTGAGTGACTTTTGACAGTTGGCAGAGGTTCTTGGATACTGACCTGGTGACCGCTGATAGCTGGTGGAGGGTTTTGGGTATTGACTTGGGGGTTGTAGGTAATTAGTGGAGGGTCTTGGGTCTCGGCTTGGGTGTTGTTGGTTGTTGCTGGCAGGAAACCTGATGGGGTGCTCTGTGGGTCAGATTGAGGCCTCTGAGCCATGTGGAGACGCAGGGCAGGGCCAGTCCCTAGATGCATTCAACAGCTTGCCAACCACCTCAGCCCCTCCTTGCAGACACTTCAGTGGCCACCTGGAAGCCTGTTGGTTTCTCTCTGGAGTTCAGACTCTGTCCCCTGGCATTTGGATCTCTCTGCCCCTTCTTCTGTGTTTCTTGGTCTCTCCTGCCATCCATAGGCAGGGCTCAGGGATTCAGTCTGGCTTTCAGTTGAGGTTGGGAGGAGGTTCCGTGACAGTTGGAGGGGTTCCAGGAGGTTGGGACCTTGACCATGGCCTCAGACTCCACCTTATGTGAGTGACATGGGGGTGGAGGCTGGGTCAGGATGGGGTGGGATGGCGTAAGGGAGGGGTCAGGTTGGAGGCAGCAGGTCAGAGAGGGGCCAGGCTAGGGTCAGGGCTAGGCAGGGCTGAGACAGGGCTGAGTCAGGCCTGGGTCAACAGCATTTCTAGGATGAATGTTAGGGTGGGACTTGCAATGTAGGATGAGAAAGAATTCTCGACACAAAGATTAGAATTGTTTTAAAGAAAGAAACTTTATGTTACTTCTCAAGGAAGGGAAGGGTGCAGCACAAGAGAAAGGAGAAGTGCCACAAGCCACAAGAATAGGGAGTTTGGGGTTTTTATGGGGCCAAGGAGCGTGAAAAAAGTGATTGCTGCCAGCTGATAGCAAAAACGGTTGTGAAGCGGCTGTGTCTGTTTTTCCTCTCTCTCTCTCTCTCCTCTCTCTTCTCTGAGGCTGGCTTATCAGTCTCCTTGGAATGTGGTCTGCTGACAGCTGGGGCTGGGGGAAGTTCGTACCCCTGCTGCCTGCTCAGGGCTCTTCAAGGCTGTTAGAACAAACTCTTAAAGAGAACAAGTTAAGCCACACAGCTGGTTAATCTTAAAAGACAGCGAGTTAAGCCTGAGGTTAATTAGACAAGGGGCTGTTGTGCTGTGATCTTTCCCTTCAAAGCGGCAAATTATGTGCTGTGAGTTTACTCTTTTTTATTTCTGTTAGTTTATTTTTCTCTGACAGATAATTTATTAGCAAGGCTGTCCTATCAGTGAATTCTAACATTTCCTGGAGGGCCTACATCTGAATTTATAATTCCCTCTTTTGCTGTTACTGAGCAAAAGGGGCTTGCTGCCTGATGTGCTAGAAGCCAATGCTGTGGCACCGGTTTTTGAGAAAAGAAAAGCTTTATTGCAAGTTGACTAACAAGGAGACAGGAGTCCAGCTCAAATCCATATTCCTTCTTTTGACATCATGGGTCCTGCCCTCATGAACACACTTTGGAACCTGTGTTGTAGTTGTTTGTGCTTCGGATTGGGATTCGGGACAGGGATGGAGGTGGGGGATGAGGTTGAGAATGGAGATGGAACTGGGGTTTGAGGAATAGGGACCAGAGGGTGGGGCTGGAGACTAAACAAATAGGTTTGGGCTTAGGGTGGGGTTATGGTTAGAGTATTAGGATTAGTCATGGGAATGGGGGTATGTTTGGAGTTAGAGACAGGGATTGAGTTGTGTCTGGGGTTTAGGATGGGGAGAATAATGTGAATGGGATGGATTATGGATAGTTCTGGAGGTAAAGTTAAAGTTGCGGATGAGACAGGAATAGAGATGGGGTTCAGGTTGTGGTTGTGGTTTGGGTGGGGATGGGGGGTGGCTGTGAGTGGAAAGGGTTTGGGAACAGGATAAAAGGCAAGGTTTGGGTGAGGTGGGGATGGAGACTAGGATGCAACAAAGTGATGGAGAAAGATCCAGGCCCCCAGAACCCTATTCTTTCCCAGCGGACCTGGTCTTTTCCTGGGAGGAGGACCGCAAGTTCATCCTGCGGAGCTGGTCTCTTGTCTTCAGCATCCTCGCGACCCTGCTGGCGCTCAGTGTGATGGATGGGCGTATGGCCTACATGAAGGGACCCTACGATGGCTACCTGGGCTTCTGGACTAACTGCAGGAGGCACAAGTGTGCCAACCTGGGCCAAGTCACCGGTCAGTGAGAGCCTGGACATGCTGTGAGGCTCTGTAGATGGGTCTCTGGAGATGGCATGGGGTGGAAGTCTCTGGGGAAGTTTCTTTGGGTGTTCTTCAGAGAATGTCTTTCGGATTCTCTGTGGAGTCTCTGGAGATTCTTTGAAGGCCTTGTGAAGGAGTCTCCTAGAGTTCTGTGTGGCCTCTCAGGAAACAGGACTGTCGTGCGTGGGAAGGGGAGCACCACTGTTGACTGCAGCCTCTATCCGATGATTAGATTGCCAAGGGTGCCATCATTCTCTGTCTCTCTTTTTAAGATAGTTTTTTTCCTAAGGTGACAAGAGCCTTTCAGGTCCTTCAGAAACACCTTGCCTCCTTGTAGTCTCTGCATTTTAAGTGCTTTTGAACATTGCAACAGGAGGCAGTCCAAAGCCTGGAGCCAGAGTGCCTGGGTTTGAATCCCGGCCCAACCACTTGGGAGCTGAGAGATCCTGAGCACAATCCTTTGCCTCTCCATGCCTCAGTTTCCTCAGTTCTAAAATGGCAGTGATAGTAGTACCTGTTCGTGGGTTGTTTGAGGAAACAAGTGAATTAAAGCATGTCAAGTAATTAGAACAGTGGCTGTCGATGCCAAGGTTAGCTATTATTATTACAAGGATTTTTTTTTAGCCAATGCACCTATCTTCATTTTGGATCTCTACTAAGTGCTTATGAGAATTCCAGAACAATGTGTAGCATTAATCTTATTTGTTTATTTTGAATACCTCTTTCTCTCACGTCTCCCAAACTCAAGCTGGCGTAAGTAAGTTGAACATGTAGTTTCTGACTTCAAGTTCTGGAAAAGTCCAGAGGCATAGACCTGTCCAGGTTCAGGTGCTGTATCTAGGTACTCAAAAGATGTCATTAGGAATCTGTCTCCTATCATCTCTCCCTGAAGGCTTCCTCTGTGCTGGACCCTTCAGGAAGCTGTGGCCATGGGCCATTGACAGCTCGTGGAAACAAACATGGGGAGAAGAGAAGAGCTTACCTTCTGTGACCCTTAAGCATTAGCTCTGATCAGATCCAATTTACTTCCCTGGGATTTCTCATTCTTCCCTGAACCAGCTGCTGTGGCCAGGAGGATGTCATGCTGTGATTGGCTGGGTATGGCTCACTGATTTTCTTTTTTTTTTCTTTCTTTCGTTCTTTTTTTAACTTGAGACAGAGTCTCGCTCTGTTGCCCAGGCTAGAGAGCCGTGGCATCAGTCTAGCTCACAGCAACCTCAAACTCCTGGACTCAAGCAATCCTCCTGTCTCCTCCTCCCAAGTAGCTGGCACTACAGGTGTGTGCCACCACACCTGGCTAACATTTTTTCTCTATTTTTAGTTGCCTTGCTAATTTCTTTCTACTTTTAGTAGAGACGGGGTCTCATTCTTGCTGAGGCTGGTCTTGAATTCCTGTGCTCAAGCGATCCTCCCGCCTCGGCCTCCCAGAGTGCTAGGATTACAGGCATGAGCCACCGCGCCCAGCCTTGATTTTCTTAAGAGTCAGTGGAGGGGTCATTTCTGTTAGAACAGAGGGTGGGTGGAATGTTCCTCTGAACAAAATCAAGTTGCTGATGCTGGGTGGACAAAAACAACTGTGCGATATTTCCCTCTATATTTAAGATATCTTATTTGACCATAATTACTTTAGAGGTAGATTCCCAAGAGCAGAACAGCAGTGCTTCGAAAGGGATGATGAAGCCTTATAAGGCTTTGATACATGTTCACTCTAGAAGTCAGGCTTCTCAGAACAAGAAACAGAAGCCAACTCAAGCTGCTTTAAGCAGAAAGTAGATTTATAAAGAATGTTGGGGAGCTTGCAGAATCTCTTTGAGGCCAGAGAACTGGGCTCTGGGGCAGAGTGATCAGGAACATGCCCCAAAATTCCCTGGAGAATTGGCTGGCTGGGCACACACACTGGTACTTGCCCTGTGGACCCCACTATCTCCAGGCCCTGGACTTCTCTGGGGAGCCTCCTTCTCTGCTGCCCCGGAACCCTGGAGGTAGCTGTGGTGACCCCCACCAGAATGGATTCCGTGCCTACTTGTTCTGGCTGCCAGTTCTAGGTCTAGCTTGGCTCTATCCCATTGGTGGAGCTTGGTCATCCTAGCTGCAAGGGAGGCTTGGGAAAGCAGTTGTTTGAGTTGCTTACTGGGAGGTGTGGATGCCTAAGTTTGGGAAATTCCCCAAACATAGGACTGGTGTTCAGAGGTGCCAGGAAGACAAT